AGCCAAAACCTCTCAAAAAAAAAAATTATCTGAATCTAATCATGAGGAAATAGACAAATCAGAATGTGGGGCAATTTTTAAGACAACTGTTTTAGACTCTTTAAAAGCACCAGTGTCATGAAAGAAAAAAAAAAAGTCGGAAAATGTTTTGCTTTTTTTTAGAGAAAGATTTTTTGTTATAGGGCACATGTATTTGCTAGAGACACAAAGAAAGACAAAGAGACAGAAAGTGGAAAGTGAGAAATCACTCCCCGGGGGAATCACTTCCTGGGGGATTGGCCACACCATAATCCCTTCTCCTCCATTCTCCTCTTGAGATTCTGGGTACCCATGCACACAGGTCCTGTGTGAGTTTTAAGCCACCAGGTCCAGGACTCAAACTGCAATTGACTACATGGGAGTCCAGCAATGTAACCATTAAGCCATCTGCTGGCCCCAGAACATGTTTTACACTAGAGAACTGACACACAATGCCTGATCCTTGATTGGATCTGGGTTAAAACAAAAAAGATTGAAAGTTTATGGGCGTGGTGCTGCCCGCCCTATGGCAAAAAGATTGAAAGTTTGTTACTGGTGGGACCAGAAGGTGGCATGGTGGTTAAGACAACCATGGTTCAAGTCCCAGACCCAGACACACTAGTATCGTATATGCACACGCAGTATCATCAGCTATTAAAATCACAATACTTCACACCTACTAGAAAAGCTAAAAAATACTCTTTTTTTAGTTTAAACATAAGAATCAGGAGAAGACGTGACACAATTAACACTCTTAATGGCAATGCAAAATGATACAGCCTCTTAAGGAACAGTCTGGCAGTTTCTTACGTTAAATTTGCTCTTAGCATGTGTAATCCAGCAATCTCAACCTTATGTATTTACTCCAAAGAAAGGAAAATAAACATTGACACAAAGACCTACACGTAAGTGTTCTTAGCAGCTTTATTCATAATAGCCAAAACTGGAAATAAACCAAATGTCCATAAACTAATGAACAGATAAACAAAATGGTTTATCCACACAACTGGAATATGACACAGCAATTGAAAGGAATGAACTCTGATAGGTACAAAGACATAAATAATGAAATTATGTCAAAATAATTATCCTGAGCGAAAGAAACAAAATACAAAAGGCTACATATTACATGATTTCATTTATAAGAAATTCTGGAAAAGGCAAGATTAGAGGGACAGAAATCAGACTGGTGGTTGCCAGGGACTGATGGTGAGAGGAGGCATTGACTGCAAAAATAAAAAAAGAGAGAGAGAGAGAGCCTTTTTTGGGTGACAAAACTGTTCTATGTATAGGAACAGCAGGTGACATG